GCCCAGATTTTTGGAGGAACTTTCTTAAAGCCACTTTGTTTTTTGTTTTTTTTTGGTTTTTTATTTTGTCAAGGTTCTCAAATTCTGTATCGATTGTTTTGTGATCTTTATTCAAATTTTTTTGCAATTTCAAATTTTCATTTCCATTACTCAATCTTCAATGTGTCGTGTCTCTTCAGAATGTAGGTGATCATGACTCTCCACAATTTCATATTTTTTGTGCCTGTTAGCATTGATTAGATTCTTGCTGTTCCGAACAACCCCTGTTCTATCATGCATTTACACGAGCGCGTTAAGTAGTTTACTCACTACTTCTCTTTACCAATATTGTCATCAATAAAACACGTGTGAGTCAAATTTTCCAAGCCCTCTTTCCTTATTGCTGTGATCCAGAGATTTCAAATCTTTCTGATTGTCAAAGTACAATTGTTTCTGTCGCCTCACATCTCTTCCATTATTTACTCTCATTTTGAAAGATTACATAATACTTCAGCACTCTTTTCTTTGTTTATAACGTAATTTTCTTGTTTTCTAATATTTTGCTGAAGTTTTCGGTGGTATATTTTCCTATTCCGATGCTGGATTTCAGTGACACATTTAGTCTTTTGAGGTTATGAGATCATTTCTTCTTTATCCAAATAGCTGGGCAGAATTGGCTCTCGATTCTTGGCAACCAGTCTGGAAGAAAGACAACTCTGAATTCACAATCACTTGGGCTGAAAATCAACTTACTATAGAAACTAAACCAGCGACACCTCAAGTGGTGAGTCTGTAGCTCTATTCATCACAAAGGTATCTAATATATTTTTTTAATAAAACCAGATAATGCCACATGCTATATTTAACATAGTAGCCGAATATCCATCATCCGGGTACGTAATAGTTATAGAAGTTCTCTTTTGCTCTAAAGTTTCTGTTGAAACAATAATAATAATAATAATCAATTCAGCAAACTTACTATTTTTCCGTTTGTTTCGATACATTTTCAAGAAAAAGTAGTTAAACAGGTTTTTACTTATTTAGATCATTGCGTAAAATTATCTTGACTCCGCGCGTTATATGAAATGGCAGTTGCCGATAATGGTGATTACGAACGTTGTAGGAAAAATGACCATCTAGTCAGTCAATTATGTGCCAAGCGTGATACACGCTTAAACGATCATGTATCTTTTGATACATGACTGACGAGGCAGATTGTTTCCCCACAGTAGGTTGCCATTTCTTTCTGCGGTAGACCAGTTGCCATCCAAGGCTATAGAACCTGGTCTGTCCTGCTATTTACCCATACCATTTCCAAGGGATTAACATGTAAGCAGCATGCCTAAAATTCTGTAAAAAGTTAATATTTTAAAAATGATTTATTGCATGTTCGCTTCTTTAAAAATTTATTACATTTATTTTAGGTTTTATTTAAATGTAAACACATTGATATTTTTCTGCTGATTTACGATTACGTTTTGACGAGGCAGATATAAAATCTTTCTTTTACAAACACGACAAATTAACACGAAAATAAATTATTGAAAGAAACCTTGTTTCTATTAGGCAATCTTTAATAAATAAGTAACAGAGATAAAATATTTATTAAAATATGCTTTCAAAGGTTATGAAAATTACCCTTTCTGCTGTAAATGTAATTTGCTAGTTATATATATATATATATATATATATATATATATATATATATATATATATACTAGCAGCATGGCCCAGCATTGCCGTGCTTGATTAAAAAAATTGTATATGACTCATACAGCAATCGCTATCACTTGACTTTAAAATATTTTTGCCCTTCCTTGCCTTTAAATGAATGCCCTTTTGCCGTGCTGATGTTGCTACATGCCTTATTTCTTGCCTATCTCACACTGCGAATTTTTCTAAGCTCTATACTAAACATTAAATCTGTTACGAAAAAAAAGAACTAAACAAAATGAACACAAAACGATCAGCTTTAAAAAAGGACTCGTAACTGGAAAAACCGAATGAAAAAAAATGTTAACAACAAATACTTTTTTCACACCCAACCCAGTTCTGCGGAATCAGAATCAACGTTGAGTTTAAGCAAGCGAATGAACCAATTGGAGTAAAGTGCCATGCAGATTTAAATTTTTCCGACTTGTGACGAATGCAGCTATCGATTTTTTTGCATGCTAGTTAATATTCGTGTCAGTCAGCTGTTGGCTCTCACGCTGGCCAATAGAATCTTCCTGCCTATCCGTGGCAGCCAGCTATAGGCTCTCACTCTGGCCAGTAGAAAATGGCTGCAAACTACATAAAAACTTCCGTAGAAGCATGAAAAAATCGATTATTTCCCCTATCAGTGGGAGTTGGGAAATGCAAAGTCGGTCTTGGCTTTCCCGCTAACTTGGAGCATGTGCATGTAAATTTTGGTGCAAATCCGTCGAAAATTGCGGCCGTGCATTCGTCACACGCACGCGCGCGCGCATCCTGCCTTTTATAAATAGAGATGATAGGGTAAAGAACGAATAATAAAAATTTATCAATAAAACAGGTTTCACTTTCTTTTATTAAAGCTTCATCAGAGAATGACATACGAAGAAAATCTGGTATTTTTATTTTTGTGTTGTTTAATTGTCATTGGTTAGCAAGCTCCACGTATATTTGACTTGTTAAGTAGCGTTACTATAATTTATGGCATTTTGAACATCAGGAGGACGCGGTATTTTTGTTTTATACCCCCAATGAATTCCAAGCTCAACTGAAATAACACCGAAAATATTGTTTTATGTATATAATAATAAGTGTATCATTTATTATATTTATTTATTTAATAAGTGTATCATTTATTATATTTATTCTTATTTATTTATTTATTTATTATTTATGTATATAATAATAAGTGTATCATAATTCTAGTTTGTCTCTGTGGATTCGGATGATAATGTATATTCATAAGTTCGTGTCAACATGCGATCAACCACCAAATATAAAAAAATGCCTGCTAGACACGCACGAACGCACATATTAAAGTTAAATTATTATTTCCTAAAGAAGCTAGCTGAGGAATAAGTCTTCAACAAGGACTATTGAAAAGAAAACTGGACGCCGTTCTCCTAAGTAAGCTAAGTCCGCAGACGCACATTGTCAACAACCACTTATTTTTCGTATTGCTCTTTTTTCTGTTTGGATATTTATATTTAGTTAGTACAGGTTGGATATAGAAGAGAAAATTGGAATTGTATGTCATAGGATAGCATTCGCCTCCTGTACCACGGTATACATGCGAATATATTGATCTGTATTAACACCCAAGGAGAGTATGCAGAATATTAATATTTCGTCAAGGTACTATTGAAGAACTCCTTATTTTGGAACGTGCGCATGTATTGAGATATATGATAATTTACTCTAATCCGGTTATATTAATTTAATATAGAATTTAATATTCTGTTTTTTCGTAATTTTATTTTCCGTCAGTGTATCTCGCTTAGGATGCAAATGGAGGTAAATTGATTCAGGATATAAATCATATTTAGCCAACGGAACGTTAATTTTCAACCTCGTCACACACCACTTGATTCAAAAAGTTAATATATTTTCAAACGCATCAAACACACTGTCTTGTTTGTTGTTCATGAGCTATAAATATAATCGCATTGTCTTTTTATTAGTAATTTATTTAAATCTTTCCAAAACTTTGCTTTCATATTCATTTTTTTTTTTTTTTTTTTGTATTTGACATATCCTTTAAAAATACGTTTTATAAAGTTATGCAGTTACTAAAATATATTTAAATTGCTGAAGGACTTCCGAAACACATGTTTATATATCGATTTCAACGCGCGAGAGTCTAACAGTTCAGTGTATGCACGAACCGCCAGACTACCAGTACAAATGACTTGATTATAGTTTGACATCGGCTTGTGTAGAACTTACCACCATATTCAAAAGAACACAAAGTTTTCAAAAAGCCCTTCTAAGTTTACAATTCAGAGTTTACCTTCTAGACTGACTAGGGCTAGAAAGTCCAGTCTACACTGCTATTTAACCTGTAGCTGAAGGAAAATGTATTCATCACTTTTGCAAGAGGCATCTAGAACTGTCGGCTGTATACAACCACTTTCTCAGATCATTTGTTACAAATGGCTTTGAGCAAGGATAGCCTATGTGTCTTGATGAAGGCCATACATCTTCGAACTTTGAGGGCTGACGCTACAGAATCACAAACAAAGAATTGTACCAAATAAGAGAAATATCCTTTTCTAATGAGCTCTCCTCCTTGGCACCGCGTGAATTTAAGCGCACTACTAGATTGGAAATTAGGTCTCTTCTTTTTATTGGTGAATTAGCTAAATGTGTCTGCAAGTTCTATTCTATTTATTTTCTCACACTTCTTGCCTATGGAATTCTCTTCAGGCTTCTTGCTTCCATGTTGCTTACAATCTCCAAAAATGGTAGCCTATGCGTTTAGGTGAAGGTCACACATTTTCGAACCTTGAAGGCAGGCGCTACAGAAACACATAGAACTGTACTAAACAAGAGAAATATCATTTTCTAATGAGCTCTCCTCCTTGCTACGTAAACCGCGTGGATTTAAGTGTAATACTAGAGTGGCTACTAGGTTTTATCGTTTGACTAATGAAATGGCTAGATCCAACTGTAAGTTCTTTTCTAATAGCTTTTTTTCTCGCACTTATCACCTGTGGAACTCTCTTCTGGTCTCTTACTTCCCTGTCATCCACAATATTCAAAAATTTAAATACAACGCCGTTCACCATTTTCTGTCTTCTTGCTTTTTATTGTCCTTTCTCCTTACTAAAGTATTTTAATTTTTTTTCCACTCACTGTAACCCCTTGCGTCCTAGTGGCATTATCGCCTTTCTTGGGGTGAGATGATTTTTTTTTTATTTGAACTGTCAATAGCAACATCAGCTAAAATGGACATGACATTACCTCGAGAACTCGAAGAGAAAATAATCACATAATCAATGGTTGACATTCCACACTACTTCAAACAAAAGGTTAGAAAGGACATTCGT